CTTCTACACAGGAATCTCGTGCGCTCCGGCACAGTGGTTCTCCGAGCGCCCGTACTCGATCGATCGATCGATCGATCGCGAGTAATCGATGAGGACCGGAAAGTTGACGACCCTGTTGGAAGTAGAATTTCACGGATAAAATGGTCAATCCAAGCCTGGACTCGAGTGGCGTTCAATACGCGTCGTTACGCGTTATAAAATGATGAAATTGTGGACGTTACCTCGATACACGTGCAAGTAATATATATTGCTCTCTCCCTTTCTCGGAATATTGATATGAAGATATCGGAGTCTCTCGGCGGGTATTATTCGGATATTGAAGAAGCAGTCGGCAAATGGCAATGTTTCTCCTCCTCTTTTTTCTCCCGATTATATCGGCCAACTTCTGCCGAAGAAATACGACGAGGAGAGCTCGGAATTTCATATTTCGCGGATTACCATTATTTCGCTCCCGGGAGTCGAATTCACCGCGGCCCCCGTTGATTCATAGCCCTCGAGACAAGAACCTTCGATGACATCGACCGACGTATATATCCGCGCGACACAAGAAGAAGGTCCGCGCGGCGGCTCCTTCGTGCGCCATAAATATTCGCGAGGGCGGGCCCCTGTCCGGGCCCCCCTGCCGGCTGCCGCACGCATCGCTGAATCCGAGTTATGTTAGAACGTGCTAATAACAAGCCGATTCTATTCCACTGTGAATTCCGTCATTCTATTACACGGCGCACGCTTGCCTCCCCGGGGATTTATAGAGCCAGCGAGCATTCCGATGCTGCCGTCACGCGTCACAAGGCCCTCCGACCTCCGCGGGGACGTACCTCTCTCCTCCACCTCATCCTCCTCTTGCTCTCATCCCCCTCTCGCTCACCCCGCGTCCACGTCGTCACACCGGAAGCCAATGAAGGAAGCCCACTGGAAATTGAAACCCGCACTAATTTCCCAGAACGCAAATCACGAAATTGATTTTCTACCGAGGGTGCCGAGGGCGCCCGATGATAAAGCGATGATAATGAACGATTAAAGCTGGAATGGGGGACACTCACATTGAACAAGCCATGTTCTAAGCTAAAGATGTGCTCAAAAGCTTCGTTCTGACGGGGAGAGAACAGCCGCGCCGCTTTCTGCAAATTCTGAATGAAGCTGCAGATCCATGTCTCTCCCGGCGTAATCGTCGTTAAAAACTTGGGCTGGCGGCTTCAGCAAACAAAACGCGCGAGCGCGTGAAGGATCCGCAGGGCGATAAACACTTATCCTGTACAGATCTTGAAGCGTCTACGCGGATCTCAAAGTCTACATTGGACATTTCATTACCACGTATTACGCGGTAATACCGGTTAAACGCGCGCGACACGACGTGTCACGGAATAGCGAGAAAAAATAGAGGAATAGGGGAAGGAGAAAGGAAGGGAGGAGAAAGAGAGAAAAAAAAAGAAACGCCAAATGCGCTACAAATCAAACGAGAACGGAAACGTTTTGAGCGAGCAAATCGGCGCGACGCATCGCACGGAATTTACGATGCAAACGAGCGCATACAAATAATGTAGCTGTCAAGCTGGCAACACGCTGGTGTTGGCCCGAGTAACACAAACGCCCGAGCATTTGCATAATCGGAAACGATATGCATCGATAAACCGCGATCGTCAGCGGCGCGGTAATCGACCGGACAGGCTAGAAATTTTCTAAACTTAGCTGTGGAACTCTCATTGAAACACACCAGCGATTTTGCTGAGAGCACGCGATGCTCTTTTCTGTGCGAGAGAGCAAAAAAGAGAGAGAACGCGGCATGTTAAACTGGATTCTTCAAAATTAAGTTGTCGAGAAAATTTTGCAACGAGTTTTTCACACACAGAAAAATACCATTCGATTATTGTGAAAACTCTGTTTTTACTTTACTTTTCTTCTTTTAAGTAATGATTAACTTGAACAGATAATATTTTCTTAATAATAGTCTTAAAACATACAAGTTTTTAGAAAAGCTCACTATCATATATTCAAGAGAAGAGAATTTATTCTCTCGACAAGAATATTATAAGATTTTATAGAGAAAAAAGCTGATTCGACATTATGAAGTAAATAAACCGTGAATTTTTGTTTTACCTTAATATTCTTTATTAAAGTACGAAGCTTATTAGAATTCAAAATGTATTTTGAATAAATTTGAAACTTATGATAAATTTATAACAGATTTGCGAGCTTACAAACTATCAAATACTTAAAACAAGTAACATTTACTTCAATGCAACATTTTTCTGTGCATAGTCTCTCTCTCTCTCTCTCTACGTAATTTATCGCTTATCGATAAAATAAAAACACTATATATGTTTCCACGGGAATGTGACAGATTATATTTTAAGAATCCAACTACTGAAACACGTGGTAACCAATTAGAGAAGCATTTTTGCTGAATGCACATCGATCATGAAATTTTTCACCGAGAAGTAAAATATGTCTAAGCTAAATAAAAAGTTTGCGATATACGGCGTCGTCTTGAATATAATTCAATAGCTTCGACATGGTGCCCGAGAAAGAAAAAAGAAAAAGCGAAGCGGACGATGCAGAAATGCAGGAGACAAGTGTTCGGGTAGTCCCCGGCGCGCACGACTGTATTTCACAAGCGAAGCCTTCATAATGACATTTAAACGCTGCGCCACGGATTGCACCGCCACTGGCGTAAGCTTTCCTAACCGGATGATTTATTTGACACGGCGTTGAGCCGGCGGCATCACGAAGAATTACGAGGGCGTGATGAATCTAATAAAATGCGCGTGCACCCTGGCCTCTAATTCGCAGAACGCTTTGCCCGAATATTTTCCGCGCCGTGAAAATTTGATGTTCCACGCTGAAAATGCAACTCATGCGAACAGCGTACACTATGATAAATTTTCGACTGCGCATTAATATATATTTAAGCTTCCGTACTGCTCTCTGAATTTCTTGAAGTGAAAATCACTTGAAAAGTAAAGCAACAATCGAGTCACTTGTAGTGATTTTCCATTCATATCGAATGAATTTTCCACTCGGAATCACCGGGTGAATGTTTTCACTTGATATTGAAGAGCGAATCTGATGTACTTTACTCTATGCAGTCAGAATTCATTCTCAGCAGTATATTTACTCCTCGCTCTTTTTGAGTGAACTTCCACTCCAAACCGTTCACAACCAGATTAAAATCGAGAGATTAGCATAATTTCATAAAACAAGATTACATAAACTCCTATGAAAGAGAAAAATCTACTGTGGAAAACACATAGAATCATTGTCTCAAAGCTGGCAGGCGGATTGCGTAAAAAGCTGACGAGCTCTACAATCGCGGATTTATCTCGGTAGCGGAACAATACGTTCCTTTCATGCGGGTGCAATCATCTCCATCCGCGGCTATCATGTCGCGGATTCTCAGTCCGGTTTCTCGTTGGGAGCGCGACGCAGCGCGCGGCGCCTCTTCCCGCGCCGACCCACTGGCAATGATCGTTCGCGCACTAGCGCGTACTAGCTCACTGCATAAGCGCTGCATAAACGTACCTGCATGAGTCGGTGACCTTGAGTCACGCACGGTAGAGCAACCGTTCGAGTGGTAGACGAAGAGACGGCGGAGGAGGAACGAAAGCGAGGAGTGTGCGCGAGAGCGAGAGAGGTTGCGGCAAAAGGGAGGGTGAGAAAGAAGAAAATCGCGCGGAAAGCTCGAGAGGGGGATGAAGAGGAGGGGAGCCCTTCGCGAGGGTTTTACGGCGAAACGAGCCTAACTAACCCGGCGCGTACGCGTACACGCGGATACGGCCGTCGCCGCCACCACTCTCCCTCTCTTTGGTCGTGTGTTTACGAGCGTGGAATACACATCGCGTACGTCGCGGATACTTAAGCCGCGCCGCGTGAATCCGCAACGCTTGGTTGCACCGCGATGTGGAACGCGCGGTTCTTCTCGCGCGAATATACGGCGGCCGAGCCGCGGCGATGTATGTCCGCGCCCGCGCGCCCTTTATCGCGATTCGACGTTTATCTATTTCGCGAAGGAAAGCTCCGGTTACACACGTGCTCTCGAGCGCGAACTCTGCCTCGCGATCTATGAGTCGTGAATGCGACTGGATATCAGTGTTGACCATTAAGGGGATGCCAAAGTGGATAAGGAACTCAAAAACTGTCGACAGCGTAGCGACTAATACGATCGCGCTGCTTTCTTTGTATTTCTTATATACGGAAAAATAAAATTCGGGTAACTATGGAAACCAGAAGAAAAACTCACCGACGAGAAATAATATTAACTGTTAATAACTGACTGATAACTTGGGAAGTTAATTTTGAAATGTTTTGTTGGTTTCGTCACATGTTGAGCAATGCACCAATTCATTTTTGCGCATATTTCTATTGTGTAAAAGCATTTGTAATTCTGTGCAACTAATAAAACGACATAAAACGTGCAGATAAGAATCAATATTCTGTTAGTGAAATTTCTAAATATGCCATCCCTTTAATCGATTAAAATTTTCTTCGACTGAAATAATCGGCAAATCAAAATTAATTTATCGTCATATATTAAATCATGAATAATTTCATCAATTGAAGAAAGGATCTTATTATCTTATTAACCAAAATATAATGAGTCGTATCAAAGTTTGATTGAGTCCCCATGTGATTCACTGTTTTCCGCTAACGCGATGTGATTCGCCAGTCATTTCTATACTATATCATTTTTTTCACCACGTATGATTAAGAGGATACGGGATAAATTTTTCTCATTATATCAAGTCTCTATTTTCCTGTTCAAAATATATTGTAGCTTGTACTGTCAGTAATTTCCTTTTTTTGTCACAAGACGCACAGAGAAAAGCATAGAATTATTAATTGACCCTAAAACGAATCACACGGCGGATCAATGATTAATTTTGTCAATCGATGAAATTATCGGTGACTGTGTACACAATGACTGATTAACTTTGATTATTGATTATCGGTTATTTTAGTGAAAGAAGATTTTACTCGATTATTGCCTAATACTGGGTGCTGCTTACCGTCGGATCGGTACATTCGCTGACGTAAATTGCTATCATCGAAGCTCACTTTTCAGCGTTTCTCACGTCTTCCCCGTCCGATCGACCGACAACTTCCGGCCAGATATTTTCGGAATCAATGCATGTGTGCGTGCTATATCGCAAGATAAATCCATTCCACTTTCTATTCTGATGATCGGACGTTGCTGTCGGGATTCTCCTGCTCGTGGCACGGGGTCATCTTTGTGCGTCTGCACGTGACACCGCGTTCTCGTAACGAGACAAGTGTCGGTCGGTCGGTCGGTCGGTCGGTCGGTCGGCCGGCCAGCCAGCTGGTTCTTCTGGTTCTCGTCCGGTCTCCCTTCGAAATCGAGAGTCCATTGGCTCGCGCGCAAAACCAGTCGCGCGGGTGAGAAAAAGATGAAGACGAGAGATGAGGGAAGGGTGCGGGAAGGGTCGAGATATCACGTAGAGCTCTCTCGAGGGAATTTACAGCGAATCGTGTTTTCCCGTGGTAATTCTCCCTCTCTCGCCCTCGCGATCGCTTAACGCTAAGCGCTCGCGTTAAGCGCCCGATTCCTAATCCGGTATAATGCCTGTTGTTACCTCGTATCTACCTCGCCTGACGGTGGTCGAGATCGATTCCAGCACAGTCGACCGATTGGAGCTGATTGAATTAAACATAACGCTTCGCGCTTGTTATTGTTTCAGCGAATCGTGCCCGCTCGATTCCGTCAACTTGATCGATTATGCACGGCGACGCTCGCTTTTCATTAATTTGTCCCCGCGTCTCGATCTTCGACCACGATCTCGGGGATTCTTTAAGTCTTCAATGAAAATTAAGTGTCACTTGAATTGATAAAATAGAAGAAAAAATCAAAAGCGATGTTATATATGTGTACGCGCTCGCGCGCCTCTCCGGACTAAAAGGGTCGCTGTAATATTTAGTATCCATTGCAGAATCCATTTTATTATTTTATCGCTCGAGCCCCAGAAGCGCGGCGGTAGACATCGCCGCGCTTCTATTTTTTTCTGTCTCCTCCCCCTCCGATGTTCAATCCGATTAATATGAGAAACACAAGATTATCGTAAAATGTAATTTCAGTCGCGTCGAGTGTAAGCTGATCGGTCGCGACTTGAACGAGTAATAAACCGTATTTCGGAGATACGACGAGTATTTTTTGCGTTAACTTGAATAAAAGCGGGAAATGGGAAGGTATAATGCGCGCGCCGGGAAAGTTGACGCGGAGGCTCCCGGTACTCCATCTGCGCTTTTATGCGCGTATAGAGGCGAACCATGCTCTCCCGCGGCAATGTGCTTTCAAGAGCACTTAACACAGCATCCGCGTTGAGTGCTCGAGTTCTAATCCGAGATTGCTGAATACCTTCTGCTAATTGAATGCGCAGCTCATCACGATTAAACTTAACCGGGGTGGCACACGCTCAACGATTCGTGCGGATTCATGACCCTCGCTGAAAATCGCGAGACCATCCCTCTCCCCTCGCCGCTGACCCCGATGAATAGTGTTAACGAACTACCCGCTTCCTTCGCGGCGATATACGTGGATTCGCGCAGGTGCGCGCGGAACACACACACGGGCGCACGAGAACTTTTAATTCTAATTATACGCGCATCACACACACGGTCGGGAATTTCGTGGGCGGTGATAAGTGACAAATGCGTTGCGCGCGCGCGTATCGAAAATCGTGAGAGAAAATCGCTCCGTCGCTCTCACGCGTGAAGAATAAATTAGCCGGTAGGTCGGATCTCTCGTAGTCGAGAAGAGCAACAGCGAGAGCGTATCTCGAGGACCCTTCTGGGAGGGCCCATCGCCGTCTCGCGGAGGATCGTATCAAATCGTATTCGAAGCGAGTTGACGTTCGGAAAAGGTCGACTGAAAAATTAACCGCCCACTTCCACATAAATTTGCCATTTCGCGGCACGATTTATCGAGACCATACATAATAAATGTTGACCGAAGGAAAGCAGCCGAGATCGAGGCTGCGTAGAAATCGAGGATCGGGGGGTGCCCTCCCCAGTCTCTGAGCCATCTTTTTGTGTCGCATTAACGCGCGTAAAAATCCATATTCCTCTTTAAAAATATCAATGCTAGTATTTTGCAACAAAAGAAATTTTGTTTGAGAAAAACATTGTAAAGACCAATTTTTCCAATATTTTAACAAACCGAAATTGCATACAGTGGACTGTAAAACACACATGACGTTGGGAGCTCCATCAATTGTTAAAATCAAAAGTCATTATGGACAGACACTTACACAATAGTAGTATAATTAATAATATAATTGATAACACTAAATATTATAATGAATATAATAATGATAATAATGATAATAACTACTATAGGCAAATCCGTCAGTAATGACTTTCAGTTTTGACAGTCTAGTGAGTGCTCAACTGTATTGTATCCATTTTGCAACCTCATGTACATTCACAAATGTTTCGACAATGTTGTTTTAATACTAATCTAATCGTGACTCGAACAATCTCCAATATTCATTACTCGAGATATAATATTGGCACGAAAACTGCGAGATAAATTAGAGTTAGTCGCCAATTTCGGATACTCAACGACGGCGGGTGGCCTGAAGATATTTGTAGTCATTCAATTCGTCATGAATCATTCGGCGCGACCGGATGCTCGCAAAAATTCACGACAGGCAGCCTGTTCGCGACGACCGCCGCGAGGTAATAGTTTTTCTCCTCACAAAGCTCGTCGGTTTCCGGGCGGTTTTACGAGCGCAGCGGCGCGAGCGAGCTGCGCGATTTCACAGCGATTCGATCGATTGATCACGCTGCCCGCGTGATCGGACTCGATCTTTCGCGCGCGACGAACCTGTATTATTGCGCCAGCAGTTGGAATCGATCCTTCGAAGCGCAGATGTTGCATTTATAAAGAAATCGATCATTGCTGTTGCATAAGAAATGGCCGTGTTGCTCGGCAAATATTCAAAGCATCTGACATTTCCTCTGGGAGCCATTTATCTTGATCTCCAGTGAGCATATTTATATTTTAGCTACTCACTCCTACATTTGATCCGAGCTGCGCATTCGACTATTTATTCGGTGCGATGCCTCGATGATCTTAAACAGACCATAAACTGAGCTATCGCCGTGCAATTAGCGGCTCGATCGTGCAGCCGTATGACCATCGCGAATTCTCAAGGTGTCTCCGCGCGTTTTGCGTTTTATCACCGTGCTCTTTCCCGTGCCTCGAAGGAGAGCACCGAGTCGGCGTATCTCTATATAAGATTAGAGTCCCGCCTGTGATGTAGATGGTGTGAGGAAACTTATCCGATCAAAGTTAACGCTAAGTGACGTCGGGAGCAACCGGCCGGTCGGCTATCAGTCGGTGGCGAGCGCACGTGCGAATTAAAGAGGCGAGTTGAGCGCCACTACGACGGCATTCCACGATGCGGTTAGCCCGTTGCATCCGCGGTGTGTGTCCACGAACCCCGTGCATGTGCGCCTCGGACGTCGCACGCACGTAATACACGTGCGCGTCGTCGCATTCGTCATATTATTACATGTTAATATAAAATCAATGTTTCCCCACGCCTGTCACATCGCGCACACGGCGACGCGCCGTGCACACGAGACCGTGCTCGGACACGTACACGACAGACTGCTCGTCAAACAACGCGCTCGAAATCGCGCTTTGCAACTCGATCGTTTTCATTTCGCAGTTTTACACCGAATGGATAGTTCCGTCGAATAGTCCCGTGGATTCTATCGAACCAAATGCAAACAGCAAACAGTCGGAGAGAATATGTCACGTTTAATTAAAAAAGTTTACCAAAGATCAAGAGACTGAGGTTTTCCTGTCTCGCATAAAAGTTGTCTATGCACTCTCTTGAAGTGAAGTAAAAGTGTTTCTAATTGAATCAGAAAAAAGACCATTTCACCGATGATCAGTGAATATTCGGTGATTTTCAGTGAAAGACACTCCCACTTATTTGCTACCAATTTTGGCTAATAAAAGTCAGATTTCACTGTACTAAGAAGAAAATATTTGAAAATTTTGTGAGATCTAAAATTGATTTCTGTGAATAAACTTTATGTCCCACAAGTAAATTTTCATATATTTTTCCCCAGTGCAGTAAACTCCTTTCAACGAGATTTTACTAGACTGTTACAACTAAACCACCAGTTATAAGTAATAACACATTTCACTGAATAATACATTGATTGTACCTTGGGGAGCATATAAATGATTAATCTCGTCGTGTTCACATCGCCATTTCATCGAGTTTGTATCACTAGCTATTCGCAGTTTTTTCTTCCCGGTTGCTCTGAAATATCTTCTTTGCGCATTTGGGCCATGCCCCGCAAGCTTCTTCAATTCAAGGGAGATCTCGCGCGCGTACAATGTATGTACGTGCATACTATGGTCGGTCGAAGGGACGGTAGCTTCGAATCCGATAGTCACTACGGCGACAGTGAATTGCCGTCGAATAAGATTCCTCGCATGGATATGGACGAGCGGAAACGATTTGCCTGCCGGGCAAAGAACCCTCTTTGCTCAGCAGGAAAATCGATTACCGCGTCTTTCTTCTCCCCGGAGCTGTTTCGGCGTTCCCTTCGGCAGATTGGCATCGAGTTCTGTCGCACATAAATAGATAAGGAACCGATACGTTACTCCCGCCGAGCGATTCCTCGACCGCCCGAGCAGCGACAACGGGGCAGAAGGGAGGAGAGAAAGAACACGGATCCGTGCTCGCTCCTTCCTGCATACCAAAGTCTCTGCCGCCGGGCATTCAAGATACTCGTCGATTCTAGTGCACTCGCTTTTTCAACGTCGACACGTCGATCAGCTCCTAGAAAATGTCTGGCGTCGATATTTTCCCGCGCGATACCGAAATAACAGTTATCACGGCCGAAAAGCTACGTCACACGGGGTTGAACGACAGTAGACATGCTCAAAAAGAAAAAAAAAAGAAGAGAAGAAAAACACCACACGATATTCAGGTGGTCTAATAAACGCTTGCTGAAACGATCGCGAAACGCGCGAGTTTTTTGTTTTTTCGATTTTCCTTCACTGACCCGTTTTCCGTAATGCCATATTGCTTCTATAAATATGCACGAGTACGTTATAAATCGCATACGGACCAATAAAACCATCGGTGTGTGCGCGATGGATCAACAAATTTTTAATAAAAGCACGGTTTACAAGGACGCGAAGCGAGGAATGTGCAAACACAATGTAGCCCCACACTGTTTTCCTGACATATACAAAAATTCGCCAATAAAATCGAAAGCCAATCTGGCGCACTGTCATCCAATCGCACTGTATGACGGGATGCACAAGCGGCGGACGATTCTAATTTTACGTAGTTCTCGTATCGAGGATTAAACCTGCCGAAGATCACGTGTCGGCTATCGATCTCTGGTTTCAAACATTATTGCTGCAAAAGAGACAGAGACAGAAAGAAAGAAAGAAAGAGAGAGAAAAAAAAGACATAAAGATCCGAATCTGTTGCATAAATATTGCAAAATGCGCAAGTTGTTGGAGACGCACGCGTACGATCTGCGAAGCTCACAGAAAAACGCACAACATTCAGCGTTTACGCTGATTGTATCTGTCTATCGCGCCGATAATACTTCAGAATCCAGTTTAATTACAGACAACGAGCATGTCTACGAATATTTGGAAACGTCAGCGAGACCGTGAGTGCGCGGAGTGGGGTGGTTCACGTGCCATCTCTCTCTCTCTCTCTCTCTCTCTCTCTCTGTCTCTCTCTCTGTCCCTCTGTCTGTCTCTCCTTCGGAGGAAGAGCTCAGGGTGCAACCTCTCGAGGGATTACAGATGTAATAACACGATTTCGTCGTCGCGCCATGATATCCAGTCGCGTTACTACGGATACGAGCGTGACACGACGAGCGAGAAGTCGGCGGGTATATCGACGGATGTGCACGTGCGCGCGCCCGCGCGACCCTACTCGTGCAACAAACAAACAAACAAACAAATAATCTAATCTAACCGAATAGAATTCATGTAGGAGTCCCCGAACTCCGCTAACCTGTGGCACATTGTTACACGCGGTACGGGCAGAGATTGCGTCCCCACGGACACAGAGAAACGCCGGTTTCTGTCGCTGCGCGAGATTAATTTCGCACGCCGGTGCAGCTTGACACCGTGCTAATATCACGTAAATGGGATCACAATGGCGGACCGCAGTTTCCAATCATGTCGCTCGCGCCAGCCGTGTGTATCCGAGTAATCGTTACCTCGACTACGTATACACACGCTCGCCAGACTGCGTCGATATAATTAAGACGCGAATCTCTCCCTCCGCGTTCTCCCTTCCCTCCCCCCCCCGCCCCCTCTCCTACTCCTCCCGCGCCTCGTCTCTTCGACGCGCACCATGCGCGAAATTAGTCCTCCGAAAGTGACTGCAACGTCGCAGCAACTCGGTCTTTACGATACGAAGCGATATTAACGTGGTCGGAATATTACGCAATGAATAATAATGGCGTTGCGGCGATGGGGTAAAACTAGCGGTGAGATTGTTATAACGTAATTACGATATTGATTATAATTACCGCAAAACACGTTGATAACGCCATAGTCGCAATGTGACAATGTAAGGAAGTATCAAAGCGATGAGCGATAACAATGTTACTGCGGGGAAATATATCTTCAAATGATATGAACGAAAAACGGCACATTTTAACGACTGACGGGGCTTTATCGCTGGCAAACGTTGGCGAGACCAACAATTACGTGTTTCATTACGGGACTTGCGCGATTCGACTCATCGGTGATTCCGGATAAGCCAAGAGCATCTTTGTAATATGCGCTTATTCCGCGATAGAGGAACGATCGGTGATCTCTCTCTCTCTCTCTCTCTTTCTCTCTCCTCTCTCTCTCAGGATGCATTGGCACAACTATCGAATGATAATACCTGACATTCAATAAGTGGCAAATTGCACGGCGGCAAAAGGGTCAATTTCACTTCCCCCTCTTTCTCTCTCTCTCTCTCTCTCTTATTCACGAGTACCTTGAAAAATACGAGGAACGGGTTAATTGGCGAGGTCGGAGGGAACGAACCCTTTTGTATCATCCGCGTCTGTATTCTTCTCCGACTACGCTGGCACTTTCGTTTCCACTTACGCTTTGGCTCCTCGGATGCCAAACCGCGCGAATATAATTCTCCGTCTGTATCCCGCGAGTTTCGATCGTTGCTGATCACGGAGCGATCGTGCAAATTGCCACGGCAACCGCCTCCTGCTATCTCGGCCTCCTCGCGTGCGGCGCGTCCGTAGTGACGGAATTACATATTTTCGGTGCCTCCGCGCGAATAGAAGAACCGTGCGATTCTTCACACATGCGAGCGGCACATTTGTTCGGTGTGCCGTTCGAAAAAGGCAGCGGAATATGAACTTATGAGAGATACAAAACTTGGTACATGTTGACACTTTTCCATTTGCATACAGCACGTTCTATTCGAAATTGTCGCAGAGAAAACACATTTGTTTGGATTAATCAAATGTCGTATGAAATATGAATGAACCAGAATTCCGTTTCAAGTCACCAGGATTCTGTTCAAGTTAACAACATTTCTGGTTAAGCAGACTCTCGTTAACTTAAATAGAATAATGATTGCTTCTGGTGGAGTGTGCGAACCATGGAATCTAACGATGGTCGGTCACGAGAACCCTTAGTACTCCTGCGTCTAAACGTTCGGGATAAAGTTCCGTATCTTGCGACACACATCGATTCCAAGAGAAACGACGATTTAATTGTTTAACGCGGCGAAATTCTCCGCGACAAGCGGGATCACTTGGGATAACGAGCGGCTTTACGAAACAATGATAAGAACGAGCTCGATGCTTTAATAAAAATCGTCTTTCAACGATGCCGAGGCTGCTGATCCGAAATTATGTAGATTCGATCAAGCAGCTTCGATACGAGGCTAGAAAGAGAAAGAGGAGGGAGAGAGCGAGCGAGAGGAGACTGCGCGCGTAAAGTCGGCGGGGTGCTTTTATTATTCATCGCTCTCGACTCGTCGAGAGTAAAGCCCGAGGCGACTCGAGGACAAAGCGAATATCTGCGGCATTTTTCTACGCTTCGGCTGTCAAGCTGCAAAATGGAAAAGAGATCCGTTTGGTGCGAAACACGCTCTTATTAAACTTCAGATTTTTCTCCCGGAAAGAGTGGGGATAGAGAAAGGACGGTGAGACGTCGCGCGGACGTTAAACAGGCTCTTATTGCAGCCTAGTTCTGACCGAGAGAGAGAGAGAGAGAGAGAGAGAGAGAGAGAGAGAGAGAGAGAGAGAGAGAGAGAGAGATAAATAATGGACTTATTGGATGTCAGCTCGCGTAAGAATACTAAAAGAAAATTTATACGCGAGGAAAATGCTCGATATACTGATCTTCTCCAGAATCTAAATAATAAATTTACTTCGGTCCTCCTTTTTTTTCTTTAATACACGCTGCAGTTATTTCTTACGCCTTTGTGACGCGTATTCGATTTCGAGATCAGATAACTGAAATATCGTGATAAGAAGCGCAAAGGAGAGATTATTGCCATGTTCCATTTATGTCTATCCTCATGAAAGTCGAGCAAATCTCTCATATATGACTATCGCGTTCTCTTTTCTTCTGTTCTTTCATCTTCTTCGTTCCTCTCGCTCGAGAGAGAAGGAGGCACGATGACGTCAACGAGGCGGCGTAACTAAAGCGACCGACAAGCAAGGGCAAGGTAAACTGAATAATAGATGCTCGTATATAAGAAACGAGAAAGCATTGGGCTTTCTCGTTTTCATTGACGTGAGAATCGATTGACGTCAAGAGCGAGAGCTAAAATAAAGGAGGAAGGGAAGAAATCGCGGACTATAATCAAACAAAACATACGAACGCCATTGCGTTAACTCAATTCTCACTCGACGAAATAATTTCTTATCGATTCTGAATCTTAGTGCCACTCAAGGTTAAACGTTCATTGGATATGTCCAACACACGCGTATGTTCAATATTCCACATTTCCAATCAGAAGTATAGCGTTTACGAGCATTATCGAATTAGTCGATCGTGATGAAAGTTTGCAATAAAAAAATTAAAAGAAAATTAGAAATATTAATTAAGCGGAAATATTTATAACCGGAGAGGTACTAATTAATGAGAAAGAGACAAATAATTAATCTTTTCAGCAATTCACGGAATTTTATCACAGCAGTCATGCAAGTTTTACACAGAAGTGTTTTATAATCAAGAATTAATCGAAAAACACCTTGGCTGTTTAATCTATTAGATAAATTAAATATTGCTCGTCGCTAAAACGACTGCGATTAGCATTATTACACAAGCCTGATACAACTCATAATTAATAGTTGGATACGGAATATGACCACGGCTTGATCACGTTTGATGAGCTTCACACAGTATGTCGCAAAACTATCATGTAATACTTTAATAGCATAATCTGGGGCTTAATTGAATATCCTGATACGACAATATCGAGGGAAATCATTTATCGCAACTTTCCAGTTTGTAACATTCTACATATCTGCAACTAAGTTTTCAATTAAAATTTTGTTCAAGTTTACTCCATCTAAAGTTAGCTAAAATGTAGTTTATGTCTATTGGACATCCTGAAATTTAGTTCGCGAAAAGATCGTCTTTTTCATCGACTTATAACTTAAAAAGTATTGATACCTCAATATTTTATATTTTTACATTAGGATTGTCCAATCAAGTTCTAAAATGCGCTATTGAAGTGCTGTAACGTTATGGCTTTAAAATACCCTGTATATGTATATATGAAAAAAGAAACCACGCACACGCGTGGTGGGAAATTACGGAGCAGTGTGCGATTGACAGGATTGAATTTTGCAGCTGGTCCATAGCGGAGGAGTCGGACGAATTCTCATTAGCAAGATGCATCGTGGAATGGGAGAGCTGGCAATAGGGATCCGGTAAATCAATCGAATAGTAATTAACTGGCGCGGGTAACTCTCTGACTGGCGAGTTTGAGTTTGGAAGCGGTGATACGCTACAAACGATCCATACGGCCGCGCCGGACGATTTCAACGAAATATTTGCGTAGCTACATTTCCGGATTACCATCACCCCCCGATGCTGTAATTGCCCGCCATTAACGAGACATTAATTACATTAGCGGACGCAATGGCTCGACGTGAAATTGTGAAAAATGCGGTTCAATCCGAGGTACTAAAGTACAGGCGCGGCGCCGCCGTTACACGTCATTAAAATGCAGCAAATTAGAAGAGTGCGCCGATAATTATGAATGTGTCCTGATATATTTCATTAAATTCATTCTTATGACAAGCAGCGTGTGGCGACACTAAATTTATCAAAGGTATTTCTCTTAAATATTTTCTACACGAACGAAACGTTGTTATGCTTCTTCCATCGTACGCGTTAGTTTTATGTATTATATTATTATTGACGTCTGAAAATTATCGCCAATATTCTCCTCAGAGTTAAAGGTCAGATACAAAAATGGTAACTACGCAATATTAAACTTCGCGCATTCTGAAGGCCACTAGTTATTATTGATAAAACGCCCAATGTGACTTTCTCGTGAGATATTAATATGAAAAAACACACACATATACATATATATATATATATATATATATATATATATATATGCACTTAAAATTTCTATAATAACGCTAACGAAGCATTTGGTGATAGATAACCTTTAAACCTCATACCATACAAAATATTTTTTAGCCTTTAAAATTTTCCATTCAGCGAACAAAATTTTTTGTCACAAAATATTGAGGATATCATTTGCAAAAAATATTAGTTACAAAGGGAGAGAGAGAGAGAAAGGGGAGAGAAAGATAAAGCGAGTCCAAACATTTTATTATTTTTTTTATATGTGGGAGATTTCGTTTTAGTTGAAAAACACATATTTACATTAAAATAATATAAAAAATACCACCACTCGTAAATGTGAAAAAGAAAAAAAAGTATAAAAATCTGCAATGTCAAAATAATGGCGCGAACAAAATATTCGTGATTATTTCCCGGCGCTAGAACGAGTTCGCATTTAATCTCGTCGAACCCGCAGCGACGAAGCGTTACTAACAGCCAATAATTGCCCCCATGACGATGTGAATTGACGCATATCCGCCTGCAATGCGCTGCCGCGATGAAAACACGAGAGAGGCGAGATTTGGTTCTAGATAATATTCCGCGCGTAAGCAAGTAATTTCATTATCTAAATGTTGATTGCCGGCGAAAGTTTAATGCGACGTAACTACTAACATTACTGCGTTGCCAATGGAATTTAATC